AAGATATTTTGGTTTTTAAAAAAAATTTCTTTAAGGTTCTGCTGGACCTTAAACTACATATGGAGTTAACTAGGAAGAGAAATAGTATTGATATTACCAAAGGATTAGACGTGATAAAGGATTAGCGTGGGTAAGTAGTAGGAGTTTTTACTGGATGCTATTATTTGTGGTTTGTCTCATTTATTTTCTGGTTTCTTTTGTGGTTGTGTGATTATAATTAATATTATATTATTAATATAATTGAATTTTCTAGTCCAAATTTTGTGGCATTTACTGATTTTTATAAGAAGATTTTATAAAAGATTTCCTCAGAATTAAAAAAAAATGTTAGTTCAACCAAGATGAAATACTGAATTAGTAAAATAAATATAAAGGACTTTTTTCAGGAAGTTAAAAGGAATAAAAAAGCACGCACTTGTTCTAATAGAATTCGTAACTACTGCTTATGAATATAAACATTTCCTTCTTAGATTACTTGTTTTTAAAAATTTCATACTATGGGTTATAAAAGTAAAAAGTATAATTTTAAGCAATTTCTTATATGGTATATGCAACTGAAGTTGTGTCACCTCATAAAAGAAAGAAACTTCTAGACACTTAATAAAGATCTTAAATCCCTCTAGGTTTTTTTCCTAAATGAAAGCAGGTGTTGAACACTGTCATCTCCTAATACATTGAAATTACTAAAATATTTAATAAGCTACCAGGGTTTGCCGTAGTAGCCAGATGTTTTCAGTTTTCCCAGGGTGGTGTTTACATGTGAGCATTCACAGTGGGAATAAACTAAGTTTGCCAGTTTAACAACAAGGGAAAAAGCGAACAGAACACACAGGCACAACAAGTTGCTTCTTTTGAAGCAAAATTAAAATGCTAACTATTATAATCTGCCTGAATACTTCACAGGTAGATAAGGTTTCCACAGCCTGACCAAACCCATCCTTAGCATCTTTATTGAGACATACTTTATATACTATAGTATATACCAATTTTAAGTATAGTTTTACAATTTTTAGTAAGTGTGTCTGGTTGAGTCACCATTAGCAATATCCAGGTTTTACAGTATTTAAAGTGTAGAATTTGAGAAGTTTTGTAATACATTTAAAGTTGTGAAACCAACATTACGATCAAAATAATTATATCTGTCATCCCCAAAAGTACCCTCATATGCCTCTGAGTAATCCCTCCTTTCTACTTTTCTCATGCTTTCCCTCCCCACACCTGTCCCCAGTCAGTCACTGACCTCCTTCTGTCTCTAGATACTAGTTTGCATTTTATAGAATTTTATATTAATTGAATACGGTGTACACTCTTTTTTTTTGTGAGGGTTGCAGGTAGTCTGGCCTTTTTCACTCTAAATTTCTTTGATACTCATCTATGTTGTATGTATCAGTTATTCCTTTCCTTTTGTTATTAGTAGTATTCAGTTGTGTGAATATGCCATAACTTGTTTATCCATTCACCTGTGGTTGATATTTGGGTTGTTTTCATTTTGTACTTTTTTCTAATATGGCTGCTAATAACATCCTGGTATAGTTTTTGTGTAAACATAGATTTCACTTCACTTGCGTAAATACCTAGGACTGGTGTGACTGGATCATTTGGTAGTCTGCTGATAATGGGTTCTTTACCCATTTTTATATCTGGAAAAGCTTCATTTTTGAAAGATATCTTCAGGAGAGTTAGAATTCTACATTCATGGTTTCTTTGCTTCCTCAGTACTTTAATTCTTTTTTTTTTTTTACCATTTTTTTTGAGTTATAGTCATTTTACAATGTTGTGTCAAATTCCAGTGTAGAGCACAATTTCTCAGTTATACATGAACACACATATATTCATTGTCACATTTGTTTTCGCTGTGAGCTACCACAAAATCTTGTATATATTTCCCTGTGCTGTACAGTATAATCCTGTTTATCTGTTCTACATTTTGAAGTGCCAGTCTTGCTTCCATTGTTCCTAATGAGAAATCTGCCATCCTGATCTTTGTATGTACATGTCTTTTTTCCTCTGGCTGCTTTTAATACTTTCTGTTTATCACTTGTTTTGAGAAATTTGATTATGCTATGCTTTGGTGTGACTTCCTTATTTTTCTTTTGCTAGGTGTTTATTGAACTTCTTGGTTACTTCCAGGGTTTATAGTTTTCACCAAATTTGGAAGTTTTTCAGTCATTATTTTTTCAAATATATTTTCTGTTCCCCGTCCTCTATGCTTTTCATTAGGGACTTCAGGTACGCATGTATTAGGCCACTAGAAGTTAAACTCACAGTTCATGTATGTGCTGTTCTTTTTTTTTTTTTTTTTTACCCTCCAAATCCTTCCTGTCTTCTATTTTTAATCATTTATATTGCTCTAGCTCAAATTCACCAGCCTTTTCTTTTGCAGTGTGTAATATGCCATCAGTCCTATCTAGTGTAATATTTTTTAAATATCAGACATTATAATTCTCATCTCCAGATATTTGTTTTGGGTCTTTCTGATTTCTTCAATGTCTCTATTCAACTTTTTGAATAGATGAAATATATTATAACTGTGTGGAATGTCTGCTAATCCTAACATTTCAGTTTTATGTTGATTTTCATTTGATTATAATTTTTTTAATGGGTCCTAGTTTTCTATTTATTTGCTTGCCTGGCATGATAGGCAGAATATTAAGAATGACCCCCAGAATCCCTCACCTGTGACAATGATGGAACATCACTTCTGTGGTAATTATGTTATATGGCAAAGGGGATTTTGCATATGTGATTAAGGCTACTAATCAGTTGACTCTGAGGTATTGTGAAGGACGTTTATCTGGGTGGGCTTAATATAACCACTCGAGCCCATTAAAGTGGAGCATTTTCTCTGGCCAGTGACAGAAGGGCAAATCAGAGATCTGAATCATAAAAAGGACTTTATGTATCATAGCTGGCTTGGAGATGAGGTTAGGGGTCACATGACAAGGAATGCAGGTCATCTCTAGAATTTGAAAACAGCCCCTGGCTGTCAGCCAACAAGGAAATAGGATCCCCATTCTTATAGCTGCAGGTTATTGGATTCTACCAATAACATGAATGAGCTTGGAAGTAGATTCTTCTTCAGAACTTCCAGATAAAAGCCTAGCCTGGCAGACAAAATGGTTTCAGCCTCATGAGATCTTTAGCAGAGAGTGGAGACCAGCCCACCTAGACTCTGGCCTACAGAATGATTGGAAAATAAATGGGTATTGTTTTAAGCCACTGAGTTTGTAATAATTTGCAATGCAGCAATAGAAAACAAATACACCTGGTAATCTCTGAGTAGATGCCAGACATTTTGAATTTTAGCTTATTAGGTGCTGGCTATTTTTATATTCCTACGAATATTACACATATTCTTAAGCTTTGTTCTAGGTCACAGTTAAATTATTTAGAAACAGTTTGATCTCTTGGGTAATGCTTTTAGGTTTGTTATGTGGAACTAGAGCATCGTTTAGTCTAAGGATAATTGATTCCCTACTCCTAGGGCAAGACTGAACGCTTGGTCTGGGGAACCTTCTGCACATCTTGGAATTTCTGTCACTGGACAGCTAGCTGTCTTTTTTTCCTTTACTTT